ACACTGTTACCTCTAATCTTTTTGGGCAGTTCTTTTCCCAGTTCTGCCTAATTTCCTCACAAACTTACACGGATCAATTCTAAGCTGAATACTTGAAGGGGACCCTCCATGGAGGTTCACATTCTCTGTGCATCTCTCTTTTGTCTACTGTTCTGTTATCTTGGGTTCTAGTCATTGTGATCTCCTCAGACTCTTGGCATTTTCTCTTCAACTCAAACATGGGGAATCTGCTGGACTCTACCTGTATTCCTCCTCCTTGTGTTCCAATCTGGAGACTCTCTGAAGGCTGTAAGCTGGAACAATCATAGGGCTTATCTTGCTTGTTTTCAGTGTCCCAGGGATCACTGCCCTTCAGTGCCTGATGTTCATCGTCTCCAAACCATTGTTTGATTTTTTATCTCCCTCTCTTTTGGTTTTAGGTGGGAGCTAAAACTGTCTTTATACTCCATCTTAGTCAGAAACAGATATATGCTTTTTATTTTAACTTAATTTTACTTTATAATTGTGTATTTGCAGGGTTCTAGAGTCAAGTCTATAAAGCACGGCCTATTAGAGAACGTCTAGCTGCGTCTTCACTTTCACCCTGTTTCTTCTTCCTATAGGCAATTTCCCCTTCTTCCTTCTCTTTTTCTTCTTGCTACTACTATTTTATTTTTTCTCTTTCTCTAGGTAAGTTTTTCTTTAGTTTTTGGCTTATACCCCATTAAAAAACCCACGCAAACACACCACACATATATATTTGTCTAAGTATGTGTGTATCACCATTCGTTAAATAAATGATAGTATGTTAATATACATAACAGTCATCCTTTAGTATCCACTAAGGATTGGTTCTAGGATCCCAGAAGATACTAAAATCTGTGGGTGATCAAGTTCCTTATATAAAATGGCATACTATTTGCATATAACCTACACATATCCTCCCGTATTCCTTAAATCATCTCTAGATTACTTATAATACCCAATACAATGTAAATGCTATGTAAATAGATGTTATACTGTATTTTAAAAAATTGTATTTAAATTGTCGTATTGTTATTTTCTATTCGGAGACTTTGATCCTGTTGCCTTGTTCTGAGCAGGTATCATCACTACCTCTTTCCTACAACTCTTGTTCCTCTCTAGTTCCTTGGCTTCTTGGTTAGCTCCCCTTCAAACCCAAGCGGATATAAGGGATGCAGGATTGGAATGTAGCTGTTTGCTGTTAGAACAGCAGGTGGACAAATTGGTATAACTTATAGGAAGATAGATTTTAATTCAAAATACGGGCTGGTGAATCTCTTTATCACAGTAAGAGTTGGCTAACAGTGGGACACTCTGTCCTATGACGTAATACATTTTCAATTGCAGGGAAGTTTCAGGGGCAGCTGCGGGCCCACCTCTCTGAGATCCTGTGGGAAGAGCCTTTCCCTGGGGGGCCTGAACTGCCACAGTTCAGCTTCGGATGGGAAAAGAGGAAACTACTTCAGTTCTTTTCTTCCCATGCCAATTGCTGTCCCTATTCCATATCCTTCCTTCCTTCCTTCCTTCCTTCCTTCCTTCCTTCCTTCCTTCCTTCCTTCCTTCCTTCCTTCCTTCCTTTCTTCCTTCCTCTTTTTTCTTTTCTTGACAGAGTCTTACTCTGTCACCCAGGCTGGAGTGCAGTGGGGTGACCTTGGCTCCTATAATCTCTATCTCCTGGGTTCAAACAATTCTCCTGCCTCAGCCTCCTGAGTAGCTGGAATTATGGGCATGCACCACCACACCAGCTAATTTTTGTATGTTTGGTAGAGAAGAGGTTTCACCATGTTGGTCAGGCTGGTCTTGATCTGCTAGCCTTGGCTTCCGAAAGTGCTGGGACTACAGATGTAAACCGCTGTACCTGGCCACTTTTCCTTCTCTTTTCTCTCCTATTTCATCTTCTAAATTCTGAGTAGCTTATGCTTTGTCTGTGAGAGATGCCCAAACCCTCAGGATCCGCCTGCTGAATGTGTGCAATGTGCATAACCAGCTCTTCATCTGGAGCCTGCTGACCATAGAGGCATCAAGCCTTTCGGTGCCAAATGTTTCCATGGAGCCGGTTCTCCCAGCAGGTGTGTGAGTTTCTGATTGTGTGTGTGTGCATCACATTTGTACTTGCACAGCAGCACGAGTGTTGTAACTGGAGTTGCAGCTAGTAACAGAAAAGTAGTTTGCTCAGTGGGGTATGTGAGCTGAGGGGTCGCGGTGGCCTTGGTGACCAGGGAGGATTGGTTTCCCCTCTTGTCTTCAGCCACTTGTTTCCCCTCCTTCATATCCCCTCCCCAGCCTTGGGCTCACTCCTCAAGGTTAATTTCCCTGATAGCAGCTGGGACTCCATCCTCCTTCCCCCACCCCCATCTGCCACATATGCACACACACGTGCACATGCACAGAAACACACACACACACACGCTTTGAGTTATGTGCCTCCTGTTCTAATGAGATAAACAACATAAGTCTCATGGGGCCCTGCTCTTCCCTCTGTAAGTGGAACTCCAGGGCTGAACGTGGTGTTCCTATAAAGGAACACTGGTGCCTGTCAGCCTTGTGAGGAGGGCAAGGAAGGGGCCAAGGACCCCCAAGAAAGCTCTTGGGGTCATTTCCTTGTTGTGATGAGGTGGATTCAAAGAAGAAATCAAAGAAAAAGCTAGTTTCCACCCTCATGGCTAAAGAACCGAGGGACAGCATGGTGGGTGGGGCAGGCCGTGTTGTGTGACCGTGGAGTCCAAGACTAGAGTCAGCTAACTCGTGATAATTAACTACTGACATTTGTCATCTTCATGGGTATAGCGAACTTTCTCTTGAATATAAGCGAATCCCTGTGACAGCCCCTAGGAGCTAGGCATTAATGTTATTAATGTCCCTATCTTACAGGTAAGGCGACAGGCTCAGAAAGGTGTTAGGATGCTTCCCAGGACTCACGTGTTCTTCCTCTGCACTGCTGAGCTTCTCCAATCCAGCAGAGAAAGAATGAAACAAAAACAGCCCCTTCTTCTAGAGATTCATACTAGTTGCTAAAATGAACTCTCCCAGAAGAGTGGACCTAAAGCTACGAGCAGATTGGCCTGGGGCTTCCCTGGTACCACTGACCACCAAGCACAGTGACTGCTGTTTCAGGGAGGGTGTAGGACCTGGACATGTGTGGACACTTTTAAACTCTTGCCTCGTAGACCTTTTGAGAGTGTGGTGGGGCCAGCTCCCTTGTACTTATCTGCGTTTGAACAGGTTGGAAGCACATGAAGCAGCCCTGGGGCACGGAGGAAAGCTAAGGCCCAGAACCTGTCATGGTGGGAGAGGGGGTGTAGAGATCTCTGGCCTCAGTCCTGAACCCTCACTTCTGGAGTCCCTCTTGGATGGTTTGGATCTGGGTGGATAAGTCCCTGGAGCTGGGAACAGCAGGGCCAATGGTCATTCGATTCTGACATTTCTGAGTCCAGGTCAGTTCTGGTTTTTAAGAACCAGAGGTGCGGAGCGGTCAGAACCTCCAACTTACTCACAATCTTGCAACCTGTGGGAGCAGCTGTGTGATTAAACATAAAGAGACCTGGATATTTTGGTTCCTTTAATGCTGGGATAATTGACTCTGTTTAGGACCCATCCTGATAAATGGGTAGAGTTGACTGATAAAAATGAAAATGAATGAAGGAGTGTATAGCAGTGAAAGTTGCATAGATTTTTCTCTGCAAAGGTGAAAAATGATACCAGTTTTCCTTCTTAACTTTTAAGAGCCCTAAACTGGAAGATAGCAGATAAGAATCAGGTGCTGATGTTTTCTGAACCCATGGTCCTAGGTGTGCGCAGTGACGCTTTTGCGGGAGGCCATCTGTGTCCAACAGCTGTCATGTGCCACATTTACCTGCAGAAGACAGAATTGTGACTTTAAAAGGAAGCTGCAACGTATTCATTCATTCATTCAATGAGTATTTAGTTTGATTCTGCTCTCTGTCGGGCACAGTTCTGGTTCTGGGGTTTCTGACAAGAACAAGATGGAAAATTCCCTGTCCTCATTAGGCTTTTCTCTCTGTTAGAGGGTGGTTGACTTGCTGGTTTATTATGGGGGATATCAGACAGTCTCGTTAGACTGCAGATCACCTAGCCGATCTGAAAATTACCTAGCCAGTCTCAAACACCCGCCTCTTTACCCCTCAGCCTCCACCCTACCCCACTTCCCTGGAAATAGTGTGCAGCCTAGCATGGAGAAGCCCCTGGTCCTCCAAGGCCTGTGGCTGCCACCAGAGCCGCAGAATTGTTGTCTGGTGAACAGGAGGGTTTCCCGTGGTGCTTGGGATGACAGTATGCTGCTGGGTCAAAGGCCACATACATGGTGTAACATGCAAGCCCAGCCCCTGGCCTCCTACCTATTTCTTTTTGCAAGGCCCACACACACAGGTGGGAACACAGAGGTATGTGGGCTCTGCGGGTCATGCGGCCTGGTCACCAGAGTGGGCTTATGTCCTCATGGGGGTTACACAAGGCTCCGTTTGTCTGTAGTGAGCTGCCAGCAGCTGGGAGTGGGTGGGAGATGCCTGAGTAGATCTGGTGTTTTTGGTTCTGTCTTCTTGTGATGCTTCTCAATCCAGGCTGTCCATATGGTAGGCCAACTGACTACTGCTCCATTTTGAAGGGAACCTGCTTAACCTGGATCAGGATGGAGGGGCAGTGGATAGAGATCCAGTGCTATGGAGACACCGCAAAGGTCCCTCTTGTCTGCAGGTCCAGGTGGTGGTCTCTCCAGGCAGGGCAGCAGAACTGGTTTTGGTGAAGGCAGTGGCTCTTGTTAGCATGGGCTTGCTGAATACCATGGTGAAGCCGACAGAGCCAGGGTCCTGGGGTCAGATGACCTAGACTCAGCCCACTAGCAACCAGCTTTGTGACGTTCACCAGTTACTTCTCTCCGGGCTTCAGCTTCCTCTCCTTGTGAATGACAGGGTTAGTCAGGGTAGTTTCCAAGGCCCCTTCCAGCCTGGAGCCTTTAATCTTCACACTGTCTTTGTCCACAGGCCTTGCCCCAGGCCAGCTGTATACATACCCTGCCCGCTGCTGGCGTAAGAAGAGACGATTGCACCCACCTGAAGATCCAAAGCTGCGGCTGCTGGAGATAAAGCCTGGTCAGTGCCCTCTGGAGCTTGGCTGGGTCCAAGATGGGAAAGGTGGGAGGACTGGGCGGGGCCCAGGACAAGGTTGGTTTGCTCGTTTGTCCATAAGCTAAATTTTCTGGGAGAGGGAACATGCCCATACTGCTCAAGGGTGCGCCTCTGTGCCTGCTCCTGAGTAGAAACATGACCACATGTCCACCTGAGGTTTCCTCCCCTCTGGGTGTCTCATGCCTTCCCTTTGCTACCTGGGGGGAGGAAAGAAGCAGGAGCTGAGTCGGGCCAGTTCCAGGATGACTTTCCCAACAGGACTGAAGGATGTGCAGCTCTTTCGGGTCATGTGATACCTTTCTTGTGGCCTGAAGTAGAGAACTCTTGGCCCAGTTTGTATGTTTCTAAGGAGAAGAGAGCACACAGCGGACCTTCTACCCCCTTACTCTGTATGTGCTTTGGAGCATCTTACACAGAAAGGGGCCAATTCACTAAAAATCACACTTACCTTGGATATGGAACTGGAAGAGTTTGAGTTTAAAATTCACCCGAGTGGTACAGATTGCTCTGTGGCCACACAGGAAGAATTGGTGGATTTATCTTTATACTGACCTAATATATATATATTTTGAGATGGAGTCTCTCTTTGTTGCCCAGGCTGGAGTGGTGGTGTGATCTTGGCTCACTGCAACCTCTGCCTCCCGGGTTCAAATGATTCGCCTGCCTCAGCTTCCTGAATAACTGAGATTACAAATGTGCGCCACAACTCCCAGCTAATTTTTGTATTTTTAGTAGAGACAATGTTTCACCATGTTGGCCATGCTGGTCTCGAACTCCTGGCCTCAAGTGATCCTCCTGCCTTGGCCTCCCAAAGTGTTGGGCTTATAGGCGTGAGCCACTGTGCCCGGCCTATGCTGATTTAATATTACACTTCTGACTACGTGGCTGTCTTCAGACCTGTGTCTGTGTTGCAGCAAAGCCAAGTGATTACCCCAGGTCCTCAGCTTTGAGGGCATCTCTGGTTTTGAGGGTGCCAGGCTGGGATGTGACTCACAGTGGTAGGAACGGTGCTGTTCTGTGGCGCAAATAGAGTTGATATGCTTTCTCCCACTGTCACCAAAGCGTTGCAGTCTGCCACGGCTGGCTACCTGGCAATGGTACCTCACTCATTCCTTTCAACACGGGTCCTATAGGCTGACTTTGCTCTGCAAAAGCCCTACCTGCAGTGGCTGGAATGTTTTCACTCACAGTTCCATTGTTACGACTGCTTTGATTGTTCCTTTCAATCCACATTCCACTTGAGTAGAAGTTTTATTTGTTAGGGGTGAGTGGAGGCTAGATTCTTCAATATGCTCTATCCCAGTTCTCCAGGGTCCTTATGTCAATTTACAGACCCTTGCAAACACTGCAGGGTGATGACCCAGGTTGTCCCAACCCCTGCGTTGTTGCAGATGGTAGGAGATCAGGGTCTCCTAGACCAGCGCAATGCAATAGAAATATAATGCAAGTCATGTATGTCATCTTACATTGTCTAGTAGTTACATTAAAAAAAAAAACAAGGGAAATGACTTTCAATAATATCTTCCATTTAACCCAACATATCAAAAACATCATTTCAGCATGTCATTGATATAAAAATTATGAGTGAGATCATCTATGATTTTTTTTTTTTGGTACTATTTTTGAATTCCAATGTGTATTTCACACATCCCCACATCTCTTTTTGGGCTAGCCACATTTCAAGTGCTCAGTAGCCACATATGGCTAGTGGTGACTGTATTGATCAGTGTGGCTCTAGAACTACATTCAAAGTGCAGTCCTGGCCTGCTGTGGCAGCATCACCTGGGGCTTGTCAGATGTGCAGAAGCTTGGGCCTCACTCCAGACCTGCTGCCTCAGAATCTGCATTTTATCACAATCTCCTGGAGTGCATCTGCAGAGTGCACGTTGAAGTGGGAGAGGTGCTGGTCTCAAAGGCTTATGGGTACCTAGATTACAGGTCACCCCGGCATGACCATAAACACCAAAAAAGCCATATGTAATTTTCAAATTAAAAACTTGTAAAATTTATTTGACTTTGAGTAGCAAATACAGTTACATGTGTTTTTATTTTATTTTTTATTTATTTTAGAGGATAGGATCTTGCTGTGTTGCCCAGTCTGGTGTACAGTGGTTGCAATCAGCTCACTATAACCTCCAACTCCGGAGCTCAAGTGCTTCTTCCATGTTGGCCTCAATGAATACGTGGGAACTACAAGTGCGTGCCACTGTGTCTGGCTAATTTTGTCTTCCCCTGGGAAGCCAGGGTCTCACTATGCTTCCCAGGCTAGTCTTAAACTCCTGGCTTCAGATAATCCTCCTGCCTCGATTTCCAAAGTGCTAAGATTACAGGCGGGAGCTACTGTGCCTGGCAGTTACATATTTTGACATTCAAAAGATAAAAGGATATACTGTATCATGAAAAATAAGACCCAATCTCCCCAGAGGTAATCAATGGTAGCAGTTTTTTTGAGATTCCTTCAAGAGAGTCCATGCATGCACCAGGAATTAAATCTATCTGACTTTTCCTCTTCTTTTTACGTAGCACAACCACTCTGGATTTTGCAATTTTCAGTTAAAAATGTGTCTTAGATATTGTCCATAGCAAAATATAAAGTTTCTTTATTTCTTTTTGTGATTACATAATGAATATACCACAATTTGTTCGACCAGGCTGTTCTCAATTTTTATTTCTAAATCTTCCAATTTAACCAGTGATGCAAAGAATATTTTGCATATATATGATGATGTCTCATGTGTAAGTTGTTAATTTAAAGGGTTTTACTACAAGTACTTGACATGTTTTAAATTATTGATCTTGATTCATAACATTTCTATAAAAAGTCGATTAAGAATAATTTATATCAGACTAATTAGATCTTCTTTTATGGAAGCAAAGACATTTAGCACTGTACAATACCTTAGATATCAGTAACTCCAATTCTTTATTTTACTGGAGTCTAGACAGTTTAAGAAACTTTTTCAAAGTCACACAGGAATTTGTGTGGATCCAGCAGAGAATCTAGGTTGCTTGATTTCCCTGTTCAATGTTTTTGCTGCTTCCTCGTATTGCTGATAGGTATACTAACTTAAAGAAACTTTAGCAAGGCCTCTTCTCTTAAAAACTTTATTTTATGATTATAAAACTAATATATATTAATTATTAAAATACATCAAGATATAGTTGGAATTCCTTTAGTCATAAACATTAGAAGCTCAAGTCAAACTATCTGAAGCAGAAGAAGGGAAGTTGGCTCATGGACCAGTAAATTCCAGGGTTCACTGGCTTCAGGCATAGCTGCATCAGGGTGTTCAAGCATTATAGTGAGGGTAGTGGGGGCTACATGTCTCTCCCCGCCCCCTTTTTTTTTGGCAGAGTCTCACTCTGTTACCCCAGTTACAGTGGCATGATCATAGCCCACTGAAGCCTCAACCTCCCTGGATGGCAGCAGGCAAAGAGAGAGCTTGTGCAGAGAAACTTGTTTTTAAAACAATCAGATCTCATGAGACCCATTCACTAGCATGAGAACAGCAGGGGAAAGACCTGCCCCTGTGATTCAGTCATCTCCCAGTGGGTCCTTCCCATAACATGTGGGAATTAGGGGACCTATAATATGGAGGACACAGAGCCAAACCATATCATTCCACCCTTGGCCCCTCCTAAATATCATATATTCACATTTCAAAACCAATCGTGCCTTCCTAACAGTCTCCCAAAGCCTAACTCATTTCAGCATTAACTCAGAAGTCCACAGTCCAAAGTCTCATCTGAGACAAGGCAAGTTCCTTCTGCCTATGAACCTGTAAAATCAGAAGAAAGTTAGTTACTTCCTAGATACAGTGGGGATACAGGCATTGGGTAAATATACCAGTTCCAAATGGGAGAAATTGGCCAAAACAAAGAGGCCACAGGCCTCATGCAAGTTTGAAATCCAGCATGACAGTCAAATCTTAAAGCTCCAAAATGATCTCCTTTGACTCCCTCTCTCATATCCAGGTCACTGATGCAAGAGGTGAGTTCCCATGGTCTTGGGCAGCTCCACCCCTGTGGCTTTGGAGGGTACAGCCTTTCTCCCAGCTGCTTTCATGGGCTGACGTTGAGTGTCTGCGGCTTTTCCAGGTGCATGGTGCAAGCTGTTAGTGGGGGATACCATTCTGGGGTCTGGAGGATGGTGGCCCTCTTCTCACAGCTCCACTTAGTGGTGCTTTAGTAGGGATTCTGTGTGGGGGCTCCCACCTGACATTTCCCTTTCACACTGCCCTAGTGGAGGTTCTCCCTAAGGACCCCAACCCTACAGAAAGCTTCTGCCTGGGCATCCAGGCATTTCCATACATCTTCTGAAATCTAGGCAGAGGTTTCCAAACCTCAGTTCTTGACTTCTGTGCCCTCACAGGCTCAACACCACATGGAAGCTGTCAAGGCTTGAGGCTTGTACCCTATAAAGCCACAGCCCAAGCTCTAAGTTGGCCCCTTTCAGCCACAGCTGGAGCAGCTGGGACACAGGGCATCAGGTCCCTAGGCTGCACATAGCAGATACGCCTTGAACCCAGCCCACAAAACCATTTCTTCCTCCTAAACCTCTGGCCTGTGATGGGAGGGGCTGCTGTCAAGACCTTGGGGATTAATATTGGGCTCCTCATTACTTATGCAGATTTCTGTAGCCAGCTTGAATTTCTCCTCAGAAAATAGAATCTTTTTTCTATTGCATTGTCAGGCTGCAAGTTTTTTGAACTTTTATGCTCTGCTTCCCTTATAAAACTGAATGCCTTGAATAGCACCCAGGTCATGTCTTAACTGCTTTGCTGCTTAGAAATTTTTTCCACCAGATATCCTAAATCACCTCTCTCAAGTTCAACATTCCACAAATTTCTAGGGCAGGGGCAAAATGCCACCAGTCTCTTTGCTAAAACATAACAAGAGTCACCTTTGCTCTAGTTCCCAACAAGTTCCTCGTCTCCATCTGAGACCACCTCAGCCTGGATTTT